GCCCCCCTGTGAGCCCCCCACCCCCGAATCCACCCTAGCCCCACGTAACACCCTCACATCACTGCCCCCCAGCAACACCCCCCTCCCCCTCCCGACAGCCCCCCATGTACCACCAAACCAGCCCATCTCCCTTTCCCCAGCAGCCCCCCACAACACCTTCCTGCCCCCCATCAGCCCCCCTGTACAGATCTCAGAGTCTTGCCCCCTCTATATTTTTGAGTGCCCCCCAGCGCTGTGTCGTGACGCCCCCCCAGCGCGTGATGTTTGCGTGTCGTTTCCGTATTGTGTCATGACGCTTCGACCCCTGCCCCGAATCGGGCCCTGGGGGGCACAGGAGGGAGCCCAGGATCGGGCCCCTTCCCCCTCCGGCCCAGCTGCTGCGCCCCCCCACCCCGGTTCCCACTGTGAAGGGGATGGGGTGGGGGCGGGGCAGCCGAGCACGAATTGCTCCCCTTTCCCGTTAGTGATTCTCGTGACACTGTTGTGGGTCCCCATCATCTGTGATGTCAAAGAAATGCGGCGCGAGGCCGAGAAACCAGAGACCGATATATTAAAATAGAGATTTAACAGCCCGCGGCTCGCCGTTCATGCAGCCACCTCTGGGGCGGGGCAGCCGGGAACGGCCGCATAGAACGGACGGCGCGGCTGATGCTGGGAGCAGGCACGGGGGGGGGGGGGGGGGGGGGGGGGGTTACCCAACGGTCTCCCCACAGGGGGGTGGTCCGGGGGGGGGGGGGGGGCCGGGGGGGGGGGGGGGGGGGGAAGCTCCCCAGCCCCTTGGTGTGTTTGCCGCCCTCTCCCACCGTTGCTCCCGGACGCCGGGGTCCTAGGCTGGGGGAGGCTCCGAGCAGCGGCAGCTCCTGGCCCCGAGGGCGGGGGTGTCCGTCTGTCCGGGCTAGGCCAGGGGGCGCAGGGGCGACGGGGGGGAGGAGCCGCGGGGGTCGGGGTGGGAGGCGCGGTGTAGGGAGGGCTCTGACATGCTTCGCTCCAGCTTGGGGAGGAGCCGCTGCAGCTGCTCCACCGTGGCCAGGATCTGGGGGGAGAAAGGGGGTGAGATGGGTCCCTCCAACCCCCGCCCCCGGAGAGGGAACCCAGGAGCCCCGGCTCCCTGCCCCCTTCTCCACCCACTCTACCCACTAGTCCCCACTCCCCTCCCAGAGCCAGGGGGAGAACCCAGGAGTCCTGGCTCCCAGACCCCCCAGCTCTAACCACTAGCCCCCACTCCCCTCCCAGGGCCGGGGAGAGAACCCAGGCGTCTGGGCCCCGCCCCCGCTCACCTTGGGGAAGAGGGGTCTCTCCTCTCGGTTGAATTTCAGGCAGTTCATCATGAGTCTCTTCAGGGCCTTGGGGCAGGTGCTGGGCACCCGGGTCATGTCAGGTGACAGGTACCCCCGGCCCACCATGAACAAGATCTGGGGGGCGAGGGTTTGGGTCAGAGCCAGGACACCCCCAAACCCCCATTTAGAACCCCAGGAGCTGCAGGTCGGGAGTGAGGGGCACCGGCAGAGTCGGGGGGAGCTCAGGGCTGGGCTAGCAGGGGCTGTGGGTCGGTGGTGAGGGGCGCCGGGGGGCTGCAGGAGGCAGCGAGGGGCGCCGGGGGTGTGTGGGTCAGGCACGAGGGGCGCCGGTGGACATGGGGGGCTGCAGTCGGCAGCAAGGGGCGCCAGGGGGCTGCAGTCGGCAGTGGGGGGTGCAGGTCG